CTTCTTGAATTAGCAGAATTGGAGGAAAGGACAGATTATTTTCTTAGATTATTATAAGGGCACAGCCCCGATTTTCAAAACTATAGTCTTACATCATTGCAGCAAAAAATAGCAGTAATACCGTAGAAAGAGAATTCACACCTGTGATTACTAACAGTTCCAGTCCTTCTATAAATAACACTCATCTTAATCGTTCTGTGGCTAATGGCACTTACGTGACACTCGTTGGCACAATGGTACCTCCACTACATTTTAACCACTAATGTGGACATTAATCACTTTTCTTTTTTACATTAGTTTAGTTTAGTTACGCGATCATTATTATTTTTTAATTTTAACGCTGTTTCCTTATTTACCTTTACTGTCCTTTTTAATTGTCAAAATAGAGAGATGCATGTAATTTCGATTTTAATCGATACAGGCTATAACTGTAATCCATGTGTTACAACTTCAACTTTTTCTTATGTTGCCCTGTATGTCTAGTTGCTGCTGCTGCGTGTTCGCATATTTTTAGACTTACTACTATGTTACTGAAAAAATAGCTTTTTTCTATCCTTCAACATCTAATCATTTGCTTATTTTAACTAAACAAGCTTAACAGCATATGTAATAGCTACAGTACAAGTAATTCCTATCAAGACTCCGTCACTCTGTATTGGACAATCTAAAATTTAAATCAAGATTAACTTACCACTTCGGGTAAAGTCTATAAACTTAATTTACTAAAGCAGCGGCGTCCCCTAAATAATAGGCAAGAACGATAGACGTTTATGCAGCCAAACGCTTATCCGTTACAATTCCTATTGTTCGGAATTCTTTTCCTCACTTTATACTAAACCACTTACCAACCAAATCTGTATAATTCACTGGATTAAGGGAAGCAAATGAAGCAGTACGCAATGAAGAGAGGCATTAAGGAAAGATGAATTATTTCTTTTTCTCATTAGTTATATATTATCTCATTAGTTAGATCTTCTCATTAGTTAGATGAACTCAAATTCACATTGGTACATGGAGTTTTATAAATTGTGATTAAAGTTATCCAAAAAGAGCATGGTACCAGTAGTTGCCAAACTCGTAATCTTTTACTGTGGGTTATACGTAGATACTATTGGGGCCACTAAATCCTTATTCAAGCCGTAGCAAAAAGAATGCAAGGTAACAGTGTCTGCAATTTCTTACTCCACATTAAGCAGTAAATTTTAAACTTCCACGGTGGAATAAAATTCTTTCAAACTTATTTAATTTAGTGAATGCATGGGAAATATCTGTCTTAGCCCTCAGGAAAAACTGTTTTTATACAGTTGTAAGGAATTTTCTCCTACTTGCCTTCGTAACGTAAATGTGAGAACGACTGGCTAACATCGAGAGCTCTGGAACTTGAATCCCGACGAGGGCATTACTGACTTTTCATGGTTCCTACTCTCAAGTAAGCCTAATGACTCTACATAATCTTATTTCATAGTATAATATTGTGCATTTTAAAAACATTATACAAGCTTACTTACCTTTTATTCTAAATGCTATCACAGAACAGTTATATTTTATTATCCATTATGACTTATTTTAAATTATGATCTTTTAACTCTTAGTTGTATTCTTTACTTCTTGATGGATTCATTTTGTCCATCACATTGTCAAAGAGATTGAGCGATAATCAATGAAATTTACAATTAAAAGAGGGGCGGATAATCAAGCTCCCACCATATGTAACTGGTACTGATGTAGTAGCCACAAAATTGCTCTCCATATGAGTAGCTTGCTTTTTATGACTGACGAATGATATAAATTTACGGATAAAAGAGAGAAGAATGATCTAATTGTTCGTAATCTTTACAAAATTTATTTCTTTAAATTCAAAAACGTGAACATTTGCATTTAAAACATTTGAGAAAATAAAGGCCAAGCAAATACTTTTGGGTGCAGCGGTATACATATGTGTGTGTGTGTATGTACGCAGCTAGAGCGCAGGACGGGTTTCAAAAAAATTATTCTTATTTTTTAATTAGAATTTTTAGCCTATATATATATATATATATATATATATATATATATATATAATATTAAAACAATTTAAATTCTAACAATACGTATAAAAGTAAAAAAGTAGAAAAAAAAATTTAAATTCTAAAAAAGGAAAAAGCCAAAATATTTTTAAAAAATTTTAAATATGCAAACATGTAAAAGATTTAATTCTCGAACTAATCTACAATATCATTTAAATTCAGAAGCATAAGCAAATCAAGTGTAAAATCTATCCATGAAAATAAATCTACTAATTTAATAAATTAAAATTAAATTAAAATTTTTTTTTTAAAAAAATGCATATGTGAATGATCGTAGAGTAGGCAGAGACAGACTTATCAAGGGGAAGTTGCCTCCAAACCTAACTCTCCAATCATTCAATTCGTGTTTCGTCATTCATGCAGGCAAGGTAAAAGTCAAAAACCAAAAGTAATTCCAATAAAGTGGTACCCTTAGAAATTAACATTTAAGTATTAACATTTAAGAATTAAAGTTCAAAAAGGAAAATACTAATTAAGTCTTTTGAGAAACAAGCAAGTAAAGTCAAGAATTAAACTTTTTCTTAAAAAATTAATTTTTTTTATAATTAATTTTTTATAAAATAATTAAAAAAATCTAGAAACCAATGTATTTTAGAAATAAAGGGCCAACTCTTTTCAAAAGTCTCAATTATAGCCCGAATTGAGTGAAGATTTTAATCTTCTTCTAATTTTCCATACTTTAGCCAGTATTTAGTTAAGTTTTGATATACCAATTAAATCAAGTTCATTAAACTTTTAATATTTTTCTTTCATCAAATTAAGTTATATTTAACTTCCTAAAGGAATTTTTGAGAAATTTCTGGGAAATTTTTAGAGGTTTTTTTTAAGGACTTCATTTCAAAAAAATTTGGGGAAATTTTACTTTAAAACTTTAATATTAAAACATTTCAGTTTTTCTTAATTACTTTAATTTTTTGCAATTTTCACACAAAATATCTTTCACTTAATTTTTTTTAACAATTTTCACAATTTTTCAACAGAACACACATTTCAAATTACATACAGTTTACTTTTTTTTCACATACCACTTCACTTTAATTTCCTTCAAGCAAACATACATCTCTTAATTGGCTCAGTTACTTAACTCCCTAAATAATTAATATTTCACCTTTAGGATTTTTAATTTAATTTAATTAATATTAATATGAACAAAATTTTTTTTTTTACTTTAACAAAGATAACAGCTTGACACTCAACTTTACCTACATAAGCGCCATCTATATAATTTGAAGAACACACTTACTTCTCTTTCACAACACTTTTGCAGACCCCCAACACTCGTATAGTAGGTAATTAGAATTAAAACTTACTATTTACTTGCTTTAAGTATTTTTTTAAAATTTTTTATGTAGTATCTAAGTATTTCTAAATATGAAATTATATTTTTAAATATATATTTATTTTAAAATTGTGAATTAGTTCTTTTTGTTTGTTTTTTGTTTTTTATTTCTTATTGGTTTATATAGATTATATATAGTTCTTTTACAGTTTCTTTTTATTGATATGCATATTCGTGTAGGGGAAGTTTCTGTAGACAAGGATTTCTAAAGTGCATTGGTTTCTAGATTTTTTTTTATTATTTTATAAAAAATTAATTATAAAAAATTTAATTTTTAAGAAAAAGTTTAATTCTTGACTTTACTTGCTTGTTTCTCAAAAGACTTTAATTAGTATTTTCCTTTTTGAACTTTAATTTTCTTAAATGTTAATACTTAAATGTTAATTTCTAAGGGTACCACTTTATTGGAATTACTTTTGGTTTTGACTTTTACCCTTGCCTGCATGAATGACGAAACACGAATTGAATGATTGGAGAGTTAGGTTTGGAGGCAACTTCCCCTTGATAAGTCTGTCTCCTGCCTACTCTACGATCATTCACATATGCATTTTTTAAAAAAATTGTTTAATTTAATTTTAATTTATTAAATTAGTAGATTTATTTTCATGGATAGATTTTACATGGATAGATTTTGCTTATGCTTCTGAATTTAAATGATATTGTAGATTAGTTCGAGAATTAAATCTTTTACATGTTTGCATATTTTTAAATTTTTTAAAATTATTTTGGCTTTTTTCCTTTTTTTGAATTTAAATTTGTTTTTCTACTTTTTTACTTTTATACGTATTTGTTTAGAATTTAAATTTGTTTAAATTTAAATTTCATTCCTTGCAGCAATGACGCAAAGAATATTTAATTAAATATGTATTTTAATTTAATTTTTTTAATTAAACTCAATTTATTCTTTTGAAACAATATAATATGTATATATATATATATATATATATATGTCTTTTGTTACCTCAGGTTTGTAATAAAATATTTTGTGCTCTCTGGATATTTTATCTGCATTCAGTAATTCCGCGTTTTCCAACGTTCCCAATTTTCCAACCACCATTGATGGATTCCAATATCCATCAGCATCCTAGACATTGTGATGAGTAAAATGAATCCATCAAGAATCATCATTGGTTGTCTTGCTTTCATAGAACAACTAAAACGTTGTTGTAAAACAATTATCTCAAAAGAAGGTGATTACACTCATTATGATATTATTCCTTCAAATTGTTACATCAAATAAGATTTTATTTAATGGCTTGTCTGCATATGTGTGGGCGCATATGTAGAGATACTAGGATATTTACCGGAGCAGAGCGGTGAAAAAGCGAGCAGTGCTCTCGCCAGGATTCGAACTAAGAACCTTCCGATTGCTAGTCTAACATGCTTCCAGTCACGCCACGAGAGGGCGCAGTGAGAAAAGGCAAAATACCTTACACACATGCTTGTACAAGCATTATTTTTTATCATCAAAAATACTCATGTAACTGTAATATATATATAGAACGACAGCATAAATGCATAATTTGAAAAATAAAGGGGAAAAAATCCCGTTTATTTTCAAAAATTTTCTTAAATAATGAAAAATAACACAGTAATACATTATGTAAATATTCGTTTTATTATGTTTCGCTTCAAGAGATAATCTATTGAAATTTTAAAATACATACTTATTGAATGCAATACAGTGGATGTTGAGTTTAACAGAGTAAGTACATAAAATGTTCAACATTTGTAGCTAGTATTTTATATGATTTATAATAAATATACAGATTTTAAATGAATTTACTTTGCAGCATCATATGAATAAAAATATAACTTTGTGACCTGTAACTTTGTCACATTCTTGCTTTTACTGTAAATGATTTTTAAAAATTCTGGCCCTTGAGTAAATTGAAACTGATGATATTTACATTATATGTTATCTTATTATTTACATTTCATAAAACATACAATAGACAAAAATATTCTAATATCATTCCTTTGTAAAAATAACGTATTAGCTTGAGTCCTAGACAATCCTGCATTTTAAAGTAGTTTTAAAAAGGAAAAAAATGGGGATTTTATATGAGGCAGCATCATATACAGCAATAAGAAACGATGGACATGATATTCTGAATGAAAAAAATTATCAAAATACCATACTTTAAAATTGAAATTAATTAATATATTTTGGCTTTTATTCTAATGACTATGTGATAAAATTACCTTACAGTTCTTTTCAAATATTGGCTTAACGTTAAGATGGGTTTGATCTTCAAAACAGCAGCTTAAGAAGAGATGTATCATCTTATATTTAGGCCAATGTATCATATCTGATATAAAATCCTTATGAAAGATAAATGCATAAAAATTACAGGTTCAATTGGTACTTTTTTATAATGGTTCATCAGTTAAACTGAAATATGCTATTTTATTTATAGGTACGGGATAGTTATGTAACCATTTACCTCCTCTGCGAACTTCATGAAGAAGATGGTCTTTCCACCAACCAGCTGGTAAATAAATATCTCTGTTCCTTCTACGTTCTTCCAATACAGGAGCTACCATTATCTGCTGACCAACTAGAAACTGGGAGTCGCATATCTGAGCATGCTTATCTTCAGGAGCGATCCACCAAAGTGGTCTGACAAGAGGTGCTGCAGTTTCAGGAAACTGCTCTAAAGCAGCTTTGTAAACAGGAAGAACAAGTTCTTCTCTTACTGCTAATAGCCTATACAAAGTTTCGATCACTTCTTTATCGTAATAGTCAGGAGAAACAGTGAACTGAACAACTGGAAGGAAAATTACGAGTTCCATCCACCTTAAATATAATTCTCTTGATGGCATTTCTCCAGCTCCATCCCCACCAACAGATCCTGGATTGATGAGGGGATAACCGAGTATTCCTAACGTAAGCACTTCTGGAATGATTGAACCCAATCCACTGAAACTATCCCAAGATACGGTTCTTGGAGTAAGTCTTACGAATCCTGGGAAGTTTTGAGTAAGGAATCCAACTTCTGTTCCCAAAATAGAATTAAGTTTTCCAGCAATAGATAAATAATACTGCAAAAATGAATCGGGATTTATGAAAGGTGTATAGTAAGAATAGTACCTCGGTAAGTATGTGGTTTGGCCACCAGTAAACAGAAATCCATCAATATCATACCTTGCTTTTAATTTCACCAGTCTCTCAAGAAACCAGCTAGATGTTGCATTATTAGTAAAATCTAAAATACCGCATATTTTTCCATGCCATCTTGTCAACAATGGGACATGTTTCCATTTATCTGTGACTAAGTGTCTACCTTCCGCAGCAACCGCAAATATCTTCGAAGGAAGGCAAACAAAAGGATTAATCATAAGAAGTACTCGAAATCCTTTATGTCGCAAAATTTTAAGGATATCTCTGGGTTTAGGGAAAGCTTTCCTGTTAAATTCTAGACTTCCTTCTTGCTGCTGCCATCTGCTATCAAGCAAGAGGAATCCTGGTAATTTTGAAGTATACTCCATAATGCGATTGGCAAATTCCTGAACAGATGTTTGAGTTAAATTTTCTCCGGGAGCATGAACCCATATCGGAGACATCAAAAATACACTACCGCTTGTATCTGTTAAAGGTGATCTGTAGCTAATCATCATGTCTTGATGAAGTGTTTGCATATTTTTCCCAGTACATATTGTGTACTTCAAAAATGTAGGGTATGACTGCTGATATGGAAAGTCATTGTCGTTTCTAGATTCTAAACAAAGGTATTTATTTGTAATTGTAACATACAGTGGTACTTCAGGATCTACGTACGCAGCAACTCCATCTGAAGACAGCCAATAGCGATCTATTATGCCACCGAACATCTGTTCCACTCCATCACCAGTTACCAAAGGATGAGAGTCTTCACCAGGGGTTGCACGTAAAGGCCATTGAAGTCTTCTTTGAAGACCCATGCCGTACCATTGCGCATTCTTCAAAGAAATACAATCGCGTAGCAATGTGTCCATTGCCAAACTTTGCCACTGAATGTTATAACAACTAAGATTAGAACTGTGGGAAAAGTTGATATGCAGCTTGGCTCGATACTTCCATTCTTCGCATATTTTCGATGACCTTAAAGAGCTATATATTTCGCACTGGTAAGGATTAAGATCTCCTGGAATTCCATTTCCTAAAACTGCTTCAACAATTTCTTTCCCATCTTCTTTTAAGAGATGAAGCACTCTTCGAGCTTCATGAAATCGAATTTTATCTCCGATTGCAATTTGCAATAGTTGTCTCTGATACATGTGCCACGTGAATGAAACGATAGTTATTATTAAGCCGAACAAGGTAAAAAGAATCATACGAAGCCGAAACTGTGGCGTTTTGCTTTGCTTCATAACTGCTCTCATCTTGGCGCTCTAGAAAATAGAGAAAGTTTTTGAATAAAAATTTGCGATAAAACGTAACACTTAAACATGATTGATTGATCAGAAGCTTTTCAATGATGACAATTATGGGCTGGCTCAAACATAATCTATTATAATATATTTACAATATTATCGTCTATGATACCTTATGATTGGTTAATTGATTGAAAACTGCTATAAAATATACTTGGATGTACATTCCGCCAGAATTCGCAATGCTATAATTTTAGATTTGCATTGCCTTTTTGATCTATTAAAGACCTTTTTACCTTCCTCATCTAAATTATTTACAGTAAACGGGAGCTGGCTGTTTTGCCTGGCTTTTAAATAATTTTCTTGAAAGGTAGCAGAAATATCTGTATGATTCATATTGTATTAACGTCACATACGGCTGCTATCATTGTATATAGTTTAACTAATCATTATAAACAGTTAATATGAAAATGGTAGTTAATACAGTTATCTAAAATAGCTTTTTTATATATTTCCATACCAATTAATATTCAGATTTATTAATAAGTGAAAATTTTAATTTTTACTATCAGTATTGTGCTCATTTTTATTATATTTTCCTTTCAGCATAATATTAAAAAAAAATTACTAAGGTTACTAAGGTATGTCGTTAGGTTGGATTAAGGTAATTAATTTTCCTGGCGCAAATACCTAACAACATACTGCGCCAAACACAGATGATTCCTCAAATATTAAAAATAAAACCTCAGAATGTTTCCTGCGAAAACGAAAACACGCATATAAGTAATACTTAGTGGCAATCTAAAATCATAGGTCAAGCTGAAATACACTGGTGTGCAAAAATTAAGGACGAAGTCGAAAAATTAGCATATCAGCTGAACGAAGAGGCAGAGCGGACAGAAAGACCAATCAGGAGATTAAGTAAGGTGATGTACGGTAGCACATGCGCAGATATGCAAGTAGACGTAATGGGGGAGTGTCTGAGTAGTATAAAGCATGTTGTCGGTGTAAGATCAGTATTTCTGGCAAAGAGATTGCACGCCGTATAGCAGTTAAAATCACACCGAGTTGCTGCCTTAGCGAGAAATGGCGAATAATCAATCTGTTAGACGACATCTGGATGCTTTTGGTCGAATCATTGGGAAGTTGGAGGAAGGCCGCAGTGTGACAAGTGTGGCTGCAGAGTTCGGAATTGCTCACAGCATCGTTTCACGACTTTGGAGACTATTTGAAACTACAGCTATCCGGGGTTAAGTAGTGGTCGTCCACGAGGAACCACACCCGCAGATGACCGGTATATTGCCTTATTACAGACCAGAAGAAACAGGCGGCAGACAGCGGGAGAAATCGCTAGACACACGACACAGGCGACTGGACGACCGATATCGCGTTTTACCGTGGCCAGAAGACTGCACAGTGGCGGTCTGTTTGCACGACGCCCTGTACGGTGTGTACCTCTAACGCCTGCCCATCGGAGAAGGCGTTCTCTGTGGTGCCGGGAACACCGGAATTGGAGAGACAATGAATGGGGACGAGTACTCTTTACAGATGAGAGCAGATTCAGTCTGAGTAGTGATTCTCATCGCATAATCATCTGGAGAGAGCGGGGAAGCCGCAATCATTCCTCGAACATCATTGAAAGGGACAGGTATGGAGGTGGCGGTGTTCTCGTTTGGGGAGGCATCATGCTTGGTAGTCGTACAGACCTTCACATCTTCGACGCAGGTTCAGTCAACGGGACCCGTTATTGTAACGAGATTCTTCTTCCATATGTGCGTCTTTTAGAGGCGCTATGGGTCTGCAGTTCCTTTTCATGGACGACAATGCACCATGTCATCGCACAATAGCTGCCGAACAGCTCTTAGAGAGTGAGGATATTGAACGGATGGATTGGCCGGCACGATCTCCGGATCTCAGTCCCATCGAGCATGTATGGGAGTTTCTAGGCAGACGCTTGGCAGCTCGTACCTTACCACCAGTAACGATTCCGGAGCTTCGATTGGCGCTGCAAGACGAATGGGCAGCAATGCCTCAACATCTCATTGACACCCTCATTCTCAGCATGGGCAGACGCTGTGAAACCTGCCTAGCAGTCAGGGAAGATCATATCCCCTATTAAAGACCGGATGTTTCTTGCTGGACACCCATCACAGGGATGTTTCGGCCTTCAGTCGCATTGCGCTCCATGCTACTTTTTCAATAAAGCTTCTTTTTATCCCTCTGATTTCTCTTTTAGTAAGTGTTGCTTACATTACTCATGTTCTTACGTATTGGGGATCTTACGGTATTAAATGTGTTGATTTGGAAAGCTTTTGTACAAAGTTATATTGAAAAAACCGTCTCGTCCTTAATTTTTGCCTACCAGTGTATATCACAGGAAAGAAATAAATACTAGATATACCAGGTGCTTCTAAATATGTGATTGCTTCTCGAGTGTGCTGGTAAGATCCTATTTAAGAAATAACTATACAAATAAAGTATAAATGCATACATTATTTATAGTTTCAGTATAATTAGATTTCATTAAATGTCCTAAAATGACTAACATCATTATTTCGTTAACTATTGATAGTAAGTACATAATGTAATTATAATTTTTTAAATAACGTATAGAAATTTATTAAAATGCTCTCAACATTATAAGAAAAGAGCACTTGAAAAAATAGAAATGGGGGTTGCTGGATTTAACTATTGTTGTTTTAGTTAATTGTTTCCTGCGTATTTCCATAACTAATTTTCAATTTTTAATTATTACACGAAGAGGGGGTTTGATACGAGTGAGTTAATATTCAAGAGTTACCAATAATTAAAATTACTTTATAAATATAATAAAATTACTTTACCCTTTTGAATTTCGTTGCATTAATTAAAAGACATTTCATTGTAGTATAGTTTAAAAGATACAGCAGAGAAATTTTAATTAACATTTGCTGCAGCATTACAGTTAAACTATAAAAGGCGTTTATAACCCCCATAATAGATATCTGGAGGAAAATATTTTAATGTATTATTATTATTATCATTTGAAGATTTCTGGTTTTCATATTCCTTCAGTTAAATTTCCTGAAAAAAGGAAAGTGATATTTTAGCTTTATTTTAGAATTATAAATAATTATCTTTTGCAGTGATGAATCACAATGAAAAAGGAAATTATAAATAAACAGTTTATATAATTTACTATAAAATCTATCAATACAGAGCCTTGTATTTGCCAGCTTTGAAATTTGTAACGCAGGAGTTCTCTACCAGGAGAATACTATGAAAACCCCCTGGAGGGATTTTATAGCTTAGGGGAGGAATGCGATCATCTTTTGTTAGTTGCTAAGTATTTAATTTTAGTTTATGAATATAAAAATCTAGTTTTATTTAAATTTTGGTTTTTATCGACATTCCTTATACTTAAATTATGAAACACATTAAAAGTAATCTAAATCTAAATATATGTATGTAATCTTAAGAATTTTGGAAAGGAAAGGGAGGGAATGATTATCTAGCAATAGTGAAACAGATGTGGAAGCAAAACAGGTTGAGAACCACTATTGCAACTACTATGAATTTCTGTTTTATACTTTCAGAATGCTTAAAGATAAAACCAAAAAGAGGTTTTGAAGAGTAAAAGTGCTTGTAGCTTGGAATAAGAATGTAAACATAAAATGTTTGTTTAAAACTAATTATATTTTCAAGCCAGTAATAATATTTAAAAAATTCACTATCATACATAGACATTATGATAATCTTCTGTCCGGAAATGAAAAAGGTTGTATAGACATTAGGTACTTTTTAGGAAGCAGTCAAGATGAAAAATTAGCAACCGCCTTCGCTGGGAATCGAACCACGGACCTCTGGAATACCGACCCAGCGTGCAAAACCACTACACCACGAAGGCACACCAAGAAGGTGGGAGAAATAATTTATACTATATTCCCCCCTTTAAAAGAGCGACTGGGTTTTTTTTTTAGGGAACCCAATCGACAAATCCTGGATGTGGAGAGTCATCATCCATCACCCTTTTAGTTCGGGCGCCACTGTAGAGATATTAGGTATATTTTTGGAAGTAAGAAAGATGACAATTAGCAACCGCCTTCGCCGGAAATCGAACCACAGACCTCCGCAATACCGGCGCAGCGTGCAGAACCACTACACCACGAAGGTACACCAAGAAAGTGGGAGAAATACCTTATAAGGTGGAATATTCCTTAACTTAAATCATAGTATTTATATTAAAAGTATCAAATAACGAATACAACAGATATTAAAAAACTATTTTTTAAATTAGTGAGTGTTATCTGCAGAATATTCCTAAACTTCAAAATTAAATCTTCAAAAAATAACGGAGATAAGGGTTTTTTTTTTTTTTTTTTTTTTTTTTTTTTTGTAGAATATGGAAACGTTATGAGTTCAGAAGACGAAGTAAACAAAGCGAAATACTGCCTATAGAAATCGTCCTCTGCAGCTGAAGAGAAACGTTAAGTCTTAAATTTGTTTATTGAAACTACTGTAAATACTTGATAGTTCCTCAACATTTAAAAAATCCGTTTTTGTACAATCATTTTTAACTGTAAGTTTTGAATTGTTTCTTGTAATTAATCTTAACATTTAAAAAGAAATTTTGGTATTATGGAATAATTAATACTCAAGCAAATAATTCTTACTGAAGCCTGAATATTCTTTTTGTACTTGTGTCTACGTCTTCTTTGCTTCGCTGCTTTCCAGGTGTCATTGTCCATATTAAGCTTTAAGGCTGGTTTCAAGTTAAGTTTCTTCTTTTTGGTAGTTGGTGTCGAAAGCGGAGAACCACCTGGTGTCGTATTGGCTGATGAAATCCCCGTGCCTGCCGAGTCGATAGACATAGTACTACCCAAAGATGATCTACTGAACTCGGTTGGTGCCCAACTGTCAAGGGATGACAAATCGTCGTTACTTGCCGTAGTTCTGTGGTGCATTTCAATACTTTCTGCAGAAATTACATAAAGTAAGAAATGTAAATTCAAACAAAGTATAATTATAAATGCTTTAGAGTAAAGAAATCGCTGTTAGAAGCTTCCCTCTATCTGCTTCATGCAGAAAATAATCTATGTTTTCAAAATTTCCATCAATTTAAATCTTTTGTCATTTCTCAACATAAAACCACGATTACAATATGCATGAAGATATATCTCTTCACAAATTACATTGCAACTAATTTCATCTTTTTAATAACATTAAAAAGAACAAAAATTATTCTTGTATACTGGTAACTATTATTTAGAAAAAATCATGTTAGAAATATATAAAATATTTATGTTATTACAAATTATATAATTGCTAATTATACTGGCAGTCATAAACCAATTGAATAGTTATTAATTTCACACTACTAATTTCTACTAAATTGAAATGTAATTTGTATCAAAATTAAATTAAAATAAATATATATTTTTTTTGGAATGCGATGAAATAAGCTCAGGAAACTCACATTGCTTTTAAATTATGTTAGTTGAGCATAAAGATTTAGTTATAATATGTGTTTAGCTATATTGTAGAGACTACTAGCTTTTTCAGTGTAAGAAACTTGTTAAAATTCCGCCCTTGCCCAATTCGAACTTCATATCTTCCAGTTGCTAGCTATATGTGCTAACCGCTTATGTAACAAGACCGCACATCGGAGAGTATATTTCTTTATATTCTCTCTTACTTAAAGGCTACTTTGAATAGGAATATCATTTAATCGATCAACTTCAGATAGTGTCGAATTATCAACCACAATATTTTAGTTCGAGCGCTATTGTAGAGTCTGCTAGGTTTTTGAAGCAGGACATGTGAAAGATCAATTGCATCCTTGTCATGATTCGAAAAAAAAAAAAAAAAAAAAAAAAAAAAAAAAAAAAAAAACTACTTTTCATAATTTGTATGAAAAGATGTGCAGACACATATCAGCGTTATATGCATAAACTTTGAATGAGTGTACGAATTTTTTTTAATACCACATTATATCACAAACATTCTATGCGGGAAACATACATAAGTTGTAGATAAGACTCAGATATGTAATTTATTGTACAACTATCTCTGGCTGAAAATAAACTATACAAGGAAAAAGTAATTTAAATCACTTAATATCTCTTCACAAATTACATTGCAACTAATTAAGGAATCTTTTAGAAAATCTGATTAAAAAGTAAAAATTATATTAAAATTTTAAATGGAAGTTAAATTTAAAAATGAATATATATTTAAAAAGGATTAGCGGTGAGAAAGAATATTTATCTCTCCTTTGAAAAAAAAAAATTAAGAACTTTGCTTAGCTAAAAAAGCAAATATACTGTTCCTATAAAAGAACAGTATCAATCAGTATATAAAAGTTCCTCTAAAAGAGCAGTATACAAACTGTTACTGTTCCTATTGGTACTGTTCCCCTATAAAAGAACAATATCAATCACGTGACTAATGAGAACTAATTTAATGCTGGAACTACCAGAACGTCATAATATAAGAATTCCAAATCAAGTTTCAAAAATAAAATTTCAAGTAGTTGATACACTTACTTGTCAGTACAGGAGAAATATAATACTATATTAAATAACAGGTGCTTATCTTAAGTTTATGATAGTGAATGAGCCTCAGTGAAAATTATTTATTTCAGTTATTTTATAAAAATTGTAGGAATACCCAATACTTCTGATGAAGCTGACTTTCAGATTTGGTGGAATACATTTGGCAGTATTAACAAGGCAAAGAATTTAATTTGTGTGAGAAGATGTAGATCTGAAAATTTCACAAAAATCTTTTTTGAAAGTCTAATAAATACTGCTAAGGTTTCTTCTCAATACGTTGATCTAAGATGTAATTAAGATAGCCGTTTTAGTGGATTTTGATAGATTTAGATTTATTACATGCAAATCTATAAAATGAGAGTAGTCAATGCAAATTTGAATGTAATTATTTTTCAAGCTGAATAATAGGCAGCATAATTTGAAAGAAGTGAATACCGTAATCGGAAAAGCCCAAAATCTTTTATTTTTGGGAACTTGCTCATTTTGACGTTATTTTTAATTTTAAAAAAATCTGATGTGTACACTACATGACTTCCTTGTGCGGAATATTAAATTATACGCATTTTTTCTTGCATTCATTTAAACTTATTGGATTGAATTAAATCTACTTCGCCGACAGCGCATAAACCACAATAGAATAAATGCATTCTTTAAAATTCACTCTATTTGTTTACCATAGCGACACTCTGGCGCTAGGTTCATTTAACAGTATTATATTTCGTTCATATTATAACTATGTCTATGTCTTATCGCTTAGTAAGAGGCAATCGACCATTAACGGGCCTTTATCAATATATGATACTTGACTTTTAAATGCTTGAAGAATCGAGTAAGTTGTATCCAATAATATGGAAGTAGTTGTACACATGCTGTGCTAGAACTCAGAGATTACTAGCGACGGAGGCTCCTGTGCCGCCGTCCGTAGAATAAGTAAACTTTGAACAAATGAAGTGCTCGTGTGGCGCCATCTATTAGTAGGGATCAAAAGCATTTTAGTTGACTGGAGCTCTGGTTGCGCCATCTCTTGCAGGTTGTATTGTAAGGCATTTTTAAAATTTCATAAAACTTATTCTTCTGATAAGCAATAATTGGTAAGTCATATTATAACTCAGAACGCACAAAATTTATATCATTTAAAGAATTATCTAACCGTTGCCACATGTTCTATTCAAATACTACAATAAAGCTAGAACGATGTATAAAATAAATTAAGCAAACGAACCAAAAAAGAAACAGTTTTCACAGACGATTGAGTATTTCTCATTTAATTAATTCAGTTCTTACTTCACGACAAGGCAAAAATACATAAAAACTCAAAATTATCTGTATTCAAAATTACGGAGTAAATCTTAAACACTTATTTCCTCGAAAAAATTCTAGAAAGGCTTAAGCATGATTTAAATCGCAATAATAAATGAAGACGTTATCTTTGTTGTTGCGAAGCTAAGTTTCTCTAGATTGGCAACAAATCCACTAGTCTGCTGTTTCAAATGTAAACAAGCAATGGCCGCCATCAAAAATATTATTAGGCTTAGTTAACGTTAAACAACGTTAAAATTACTAAATCAGAAGTCAACAACAAAAATCAGCGTAATATTTGCAAAATTTTCACCAACAGGTTTCGCCAACAGATGGCGCCACTTGCTTATTCTTGTCCAGGCTTTCTTATCTTATCTAATCATTATTTCCTATCTTGTTCATTTGCGGTTTTGCAGCTGAAGATGGTGGTTCGGTAAAACCATCGAAACTAGTCCTGTGAAAATTTTGCAAATATTACGCTGATTTTTGTTGTTTGACTTCTGATTTAGTATTTATTCGGCGTGTTATTGTGTCTTAATTAACGTTAAAATTGTTGATAATTCTAAAAATATTGCATACAAACTTACTAAAGGCATAAAAACCTTAACCGAAAGATATGAAAAACATAATTCAATCTTTTTTAAAGCAAAAAATGTACAAACATCACTTAGGCGGGTAACAGAGTGGATATATATATATATAAATATATTTATATACGTTTGGCGCGGCCGATTGCAACCAAAATACGAGGTGCACATCTACATGTTATAGCAGTCCTATATACAAAATTTCAACTTTCTGTGTCTACTCGTTTTTTAGTTATGCGAGATACGTACGTACGTACATACGTTCATGCAGACGCCACGAAAAATTCTCTTCAGAATTCATTTTAAAGCATTTTAATTTATTTATAATTTTTTTGGAGGAAAAGAGTATTTTATTCTGTGCTTATGTACTGATATCACGCAAAAACATCGTTAAATTGCATTCGATAGCTGCCAAAATGGATATTTTCGTTGAAATATGCTCCCAGAAACTTTTCGCGATTACAATACTTCCTTTTTACTTCGTACAAGAAAGTAAAAAGACGTGTCTGTATGCGTGTGTCGAATAAGATAAGTCTAAGGCTGCGGATTTGTTGCTGCCCGTAATAATAAAAGTGTATACCTCGAAGCGACTTTTTCAAAATTCGATTTAGTATTTTTAGCAGGGAAACGCACTTTTGTCTTAATTACTTTTTAAATTATTGTCAATAAATGTTATCAGATGTAGTATTTAAAAAATATCAAATAAGGAAGAATCTGTATGTATTTTCCTCGGTTAATGAAAAGACAACGGCACCTAGAACCATCGAATTTTTAACATGCAGTCCACTGCTGAACATTTTCACTTGAAAGCCCGAACATTGAATTTCTAATTTGATTTTGATTTATTACATATTTTGCACAAATTTAACAAATTTTTATTTAACAAACTCAGCGATTTGAAAGCGAGAATTGGCAACACTGTTCGAAATAGAATAATTTTTATCTACGCGCCAGACTGCGGTCATTCGGAAAAATTTCATTTATCTTTTAATTTTAATCTACAAATAGGCCAGTTGAAAGCAACATGTTATCCCAGCTTTAAATAGAATACTTATTTGTCTTCAGATGTCGTTTTTCCATCCTGCGTCGTCTAATGGGCTGAAATACTAATCATTTGCATATCCCAACTTTTTCTTCTTTTCATGCGATTTTGACGTTCGTCAGATCATTCCTTCCTGGGGTTCAATTTTAATAGCCATCAGTGTAAATAAACAACTTAAATAAATAGTTAATTCTAAGCAAAATTACACACAATGAAGTAGTTTAAGTTGATTGATAAGTAAATAAAGGCTTTATTTTATGCATTTAAAGTACCGTGCCCGCTAAAAAAACTGAGTACAGTTGCAAACATTGCAACTTGCAGGAAATTTTATTTTAGTTTAAAAAATTAGAAATTTTATTTGATGTTATATAGAACGATTGTTCATTTTGATCGAAATTGAAGATTTAGAACAAGAATTTCGAACCTTTTTCTTGCATCGGCACCTTTTAAAAGAATGGTTTTTTGACCCTTTACAATTTTCTCTGTGATATAGTATATATACGTGTGATATAGTATATACACACACAGATGAGATTTATTTTTACAACGTTTTTGAATCACTATTATATTTAATTTTATAACTATAAGCAAGTTGTCAGAAGCAAAAGTCACAGATTCTAATTCCAGAAAAGTTCAATTTTAAATAATATGATGGCTGCACTTGACATATTACCGTATTTCTTCTTTGAATATATTTGGTATATAATTAATTAATTTGATTCTTAAATCATGCTATTGAAAAACTGGTTCATTAGTAGCCCCCCCGAATAGGGTTGTTCTCTTGCTTTCTTTTTTTATTTTTTTATATCGCACATATTGTATAAAAAAGCTGTATACTGCAAAAAATTATTGTTTACTTTTAAAACATAGTAAATAATTTTAGTGTATTTTCCCCTTGTATTTATTTTATATCATATCTTCTTTATAATATACTTTTATGTCAATTTTTTTTTTTTTTTTTTTTTTTTTTTTTTTTTTTTAAAGTCCAAAGGGGCAATTTGGTCAGAGGGGCTAATAATTTCGTCTTGGCCTTTTTTTGCATTTCACCACGAAACGGTGTTTCACTTTTCTAATTGTTCTCATAAAATATTAGAGCACTGCATTATAGTTAATTAAATAGTGAAGAATCTGCATAAATGTGTGCATATTTCTCGCATTATGAAAAAGCAATGGTAACTAGAGCCATTAAATTTTGAATAACATAATTCTCCAACCGAATTTGGGCACCTGGAAGCCCAAGTTCTGAATTTTTTATTACTTTTTTCATATTTTATAAAACTTATTAACTTATTATTTTATAAAACTTAAAAACGAAATTTTTGATTAACAAACTCAACGATTTCAAAGGGAGCAATGGCAACGCTGTACGGGAAAAAAATTTTATTTCCAGCTCGCGAAACTGTCTATCAAAAATTCTAAAGATATGCTGTTTTTAAATAATTTGTGATATTGCTGTTGAATTGAATTTTACGTGGTTCAGATGCGAAGAAAATTATATTTAATAAATAAAGATAACGCATAAAACGTTAAGGAAACTTTCCTTTGGGCGTAATATAAAATCTCTCTCTTTTTTTTTTTTTTTTTTTTTTGTTTGTTTGTTTGTTTGTTTTGTTTTGTTTTTGTTTGTTTGTTATGAAAGTGATCTTGAGTATGTCACTCATTTTCCGACGCGAAGCATAAAGTACATTTTATCCGGATGCAAGATCTTTAAAAAGCTCTGATAAAAAATTAAATATCACAACACTCATTTGAATTATGAGTACGACGTTTATTAGAATACTTTATTATAAAATGAAGTGAAATCTTCTCAGAAGAAAAGATTTAAATTTCAGGTTGCTAAAGAATATAGTTTACCCTAAATTAGATGTTGCTAATTTTTTCAAATATGGGGAACATTAAAAACTTGTAACAACTTGTGCTCGTCGAAAAAAAATTCTAATTTTCGTTTCGAAGACATCAATCAGGTTTATCAGACTATTATTTCCTTATTTTCAAATTCACCCAAATATAAGATGCCTTTTACTGAAAGAACATATTATTTTGAAGTATAACCTATAATTTATAAAGAATAAATCAGGACATTTTGTCACCTATACATTTTATGATATAATAATGTATTATCTAAATTTTACTTCAATGTAAAGCATTTAGATTACTTAAATAGCTTTCATATAGGACTATCAGAGCATCGGACAATCAGAATCTGGTGCAGTTTTACATGCAAGTACTTTTTCCTTTGTAAAACGTCTTCAGAACAGTACCATCGTCTTATACAAGAAATCGTTTACATTTGAGATAATATGTTATTTATTGAAATATTAAATATATATATATATAAAGCGGTTTGCTGAAAACCAGAGTTACAAACGATACAAAATTAAGTCTCTAACACCTTTAAGAAAATCATAATTAAAAATTATTTCATTTACCTGCTTCACCAGGCATTTTGTTTCGTGGTAACCATACATCTTCTTGTTTTTGTTGCAAACTGTATAAAAGATTGATAGAATTGTAAGAAGCTCTATCATTGCTGTTCTGCCACATTTTAGATGCTTATTATTGCTATTTCATATGCAAATCTGTGTATTTAATTATTAGTGAGTCAGAAATTTGAATTCTTAAGTAATTGTTGCTCTAAAAACCATCATTATTGCTTCTGAACAGTGTTTTTAGCATTCAGTTACATCGCTCGTCAAGTACCACCAAGCACAAGAAGTTTTTATCGCGAAACTTATCTTTATTGTACGAAAGCAAGCTTTGAAATGCAGGTAATAATATGACGCGTTATCTGTTAGAAGGTGATGATACTGCAATATAAACAAACAACTTTCTTCGAATTTATGAAAAGCAGGATACTCAAGGAGCTCGAAGACGTTGACAGTGGGAGTTTTATTTCCTTTAATCTAGCACACATTTCTACAAAACCTGTTAAAGGTGCAGCAACCTATCGAAACACATGCCTAAGTCTGTGTCTATGAATATTTGTGCACAAAGGGTATAACAAAAGTTCTGAAAAATAAAATCTTACATTTATAAACTTCATGCAAAGTTGAAATTTCAATTCATGAAATATTCAGCAATAAGTCTTAATCAATTTTAGATACATATGCAGAGTTCTATAACTTTAAATACAAGAAGAAATTTAAAGAAATTTTTGAGATCTAATTTATTAACTAAGTCATATTTTTATACATATTGCTAACTTAAATTCCAGATTTTTGAAAATAAATTTAGAAAGCTGTTATAATAAACGACCTGTGTAATAAAGATTTTCATTCAATTCACAATTTATTTTAAGACTATCCACAAACTTTGAAAGTAAAGGAATAGAATTCCTTGTTTTAAACTAATTAAAGAAGAGTGAATATTTTATTGGATTATGTAATAAAGGCATCAGAAATGTTTTATAAATAATTTTTAACTCCGAATTCATTGCTGTTGTTTTCATAAAATTAAGTACCTTATTTTAAGAATAATTTTAAAAGTTTAGAATTTACATCTCTATTATTAAATTGCCAAGAATCTGTAAGTATGCTCTGTCCGTAGGTACAGATGTCACGGAAAAAAAGTCCAAGGGATATTTCCGTTGAAACATGATATCCGAAATTTTTCTGTCTGGAATTTTCATTGTGGAAAGTCGGCGGCATCAGACACAGCAAATTTTCATTACACATAGTTCTTCATTCAAGCATGCGGGCACGTCAAAATCCAAATTTTAAATTCGAATTAGTTCTCTTTATTTATTTCAGATTTTGTGCAAGTTTAACAACATTTTTGACTAATGATTTAAAAGCAAGCTGCAACACCGCTCGAAAACATCGTCAATTCTATTCCGTCAGAGTTTTGTCATTCGGAAAAATACAAGATATTTGCATTCACTTTTAATCAACAAACTCTGCAGTTTGTAATGTGTTGCCACTGCCTGAAATAATATATTTTTATCTTCTACACGCGAAAGGGCCCACCAGCGGCCGAGCGGTAAAGTCGCTGAACACTGGTAGTTCGATCTGAGGTTCGAATCCCGCGAACGGGCTGGGTGCATGGGCAGTTTCATGGTTTTCCCCATGTGTAACATTATACGAGCCAGTTTCCCTTAGAAATTCCTCCACGAAGGCATCCCTTCCCTTAGGCAGCCCTAGTGTGCTTTGCCATAATCTCAATAAACCAAACCGAATGTATTGCCATTCGATAAAGAATAAGATTATTCAACTTTCAGTTTGCTTCTGATTAACAAACTAAAGGATTTAAAAGCAATAAACGCAATTCTTAATAATTTTCTAATTTTTTAATCTGATTAATTTAAATGTACTTAAGCCATGAGATGTCTGATTAGAAATATTAAATACTTTAAAGAAATTAAACTAATTGGACTGATTAATAATTGACAATCAATTTTTTTTTAAATTATTATTTTGGCTGCACAAGAAGCTAGTTTAAAAAATAAATCCCTTTGCCACATCTTTCGAGCATCCTGCTTAAACAAGCCATTATTATTAAATTTTGCACTTAATTTGCATAATTGAGGTCGAAAGAATGTTTATCAATAGAATGAGGCTCTTTTTTAGCGAAGAAATGCTTTTTATTTTCGTACTGCTACTAGAATATATAAATAATCCTAATACGGATTTATTATCTAAAGAAATAGCATGCGTTTTCCTCGGGTATTGTTATCATAATTATCTTAATTACCCATTCATTGTTCAGCTCCTTGCTTTATTTCTCTGCAGCAGAAGGATTACACTGCGCGCTTTGTTTTACAGCACGATTAGGTTAGTTTATTTGAATATGGCAAAGCACACGAAGGCTAACTGCCTAAAGGGGTAGGGTATGCCTTCGTCTAGGGTTTTCTAAAGTAACTGACTCATATTCTTATCATACGCGAGGAAAACAAGGAAAATCAGCCTGATCAGGAAAATCAGCCGAAATCGTTCGCCTGAGTTCGAAATCGGATCGAACTGTCTTTCATTCAGCTGTCTTAACTACTCAGCTTCAAGAGGAGTTGTTTTTGCAGCACGAATAGTGACCATGATCCAAAGGCATTATAACAGGACATTGAAAAGCCCTTAAAATATATGTATTAATTAAGTCAATAGTAATACTACTGCTTAACATTTGGAATGTATACAAAATTTTATTTAAATAAACGCCCTTCAGATACAATTCTCCGACTTTATCTAAGAATTTATGAAACTTTATCTAACGACTTTATCTAAGAATTTTTCTAAGAATTTATGAAATCCAGGGTAGCACCAGAAAATGGGGCAGTCTAGCATCAGATGAAAGACCGCTTCAAAAATTTAAAATGCTAATTTGCAATTTATCGAAAATATTCCTGACACTTTTCCCTCAATAATTATAGGTAATTTTGCATCAAAACTTTTCCTCTGAAGACATATATATATATATTAATTTTAAATTTAAATTTAGGTTTATTCAATGTACTTTGAATGTTTTCGTAATAAATATGCTCATAAAACTGCAAATTATTATAGATATATATATTTCTATAATATATGTTGTATCGTACTAAAAGCACAACTAATAACTTGTGCTAAAGTACGAAGTAATTTATTGCATTAAAGCCACAACTAATTACTTTGTCCTAAAGCACTAAGTAATCTATTGTACTAAAGCTACAACTAATTACAGCAGAAACTAAATAAATACTAAATCTTATAAAACTAAATCTAAAATAAAAACTAAATCTTCTTGAAAATTCCAGTCATACCATTGTTCTTAGTTGTTCTTTTATAAATGCTTTCTATGAATACATTTTCTTATAGCAATAAATAATAAGGAGAAAAGGAATTGTACGTTTCCGCTGCAGTACTAAGATAATATACTACGTTTTAGTTTATTTTACACTAACGCCGTGCGCGCTAAAGTCATGAGCTTTGGTTACAGAATAAATATTTGCTCGTTTCGTAGTAATGAATGCTCTCCTTTCTCAAGTTACAACGAGTGGCAAAAATAAGTGCCAGTGCAGATGCTGGGATAAACTGTTTACATTTTTGGAGGAACTTAATGAAGTTTTTTCATTCTCATAATGAATAAACAGTCGAAAATTTGTTGAAAATTTCAGTATATTTGCTACAATTTTATTGTCACTGAAAAATTAACTTTTTTACTCGAGCTTTTGCTCCGCTAAAAGCTTTCAGCGATATGGAAATTTATTGCTTTTAATGGCTATGTGATAATAATTTATTTGAAAGCAAAATTTATGAACAAAATTGTATCTCAATCTCAGGGTTCAAGAAATCGAAACTTCATTCACTTTTTGCTGCTGTAATAAATATAACGAAAATTTATCGTTCAATAACTGATATCAAATACTTCAAGAAAACATTATTAGAAGATAATCCGTTTATTAACTTGAAACTTGCGATCACCAACCAAGATTGCATCTTGCTAATCGTGTCAAAAGTAACATGCATCTGAAAATTACATATAGATTGTAACATATAGATTACATATAGATATACATATTGCATACTACATATAGATTACATATTACATATAGATTACAATATTTATTGTAAATGCAGTATGTACAATATGTACAATTTTCAGACCATATTCTAGTATACATACATTCACATAAACGTTTTTATTTATCAAACATTATATATTCGGCATTCAGATTGGTATTATCATGAACTTTAAAACATATTTCATATACTTTAAATTACTGTGTTAAGAAATTATAGTAAAATCTATATTTAATTTTCAGTTGCATGTTACTTTTGACACGATTAACAAGATGCAATCTTGGTTGGTGATCGCAAGTTTCAAGTTAATAAACGGTTTATCTTCTAATAGCGTTTTCTTTAAGTATTTGATATCAGTTATTGAACGATAAATTTTCGTTATATGTATTACAGTAAACTCTATCATTGATTTCTTATTTTATGCTCCGTCCATTAGATTCATTTTTTGTAGTACTTATTTTTCCTTTATTGTTAGCGTAATGTCAATGTCATCAGAATCACAACTTTATATCACAATCATTTTCTAAGTCGTTTTCATATTCATCGACAAAAAGCCTTCAGCAGTTCATAACAAATAAACAATGGCATTAAGTTTTACAAATAGTCAGATTCTTTGTGGCAACCACCTTCACAGAGGACAGAAATTATATCCAATCGCAGTTTGTTTATCTCGCTGCAATAATGTGATGAATTCTAGAAAAATATCTACCAAGCATATTAATTATTCTAAATAATAGGATTGGAAATCATGGACCAATTAGGGTATTCTTAGGATAGAGGATTAAGGAAAATTTTTTCTAAAATGAACAAAAAATGCCTAGGTTCCTGAGGCTTTAGAACAATATAACATTCATTCTTCATCTTTCAGGAAATACTGCATAAACTGAAAGAAATCTTTTAAGAAAAGTGTGTAATCACCAGAGAAATTTCATTAAGCGCTGAGACGGTAAAAGTTATAGTGGCTGTGTGACAAAATTGAGTTACGAAATGCTTAAGATATGCCTAAATTTATTATGTTGTTAGTGATAAGTTTAACATTGCTTGCATTATAAAACGTTTTCTGTCACCTCTGTTTCTCATGATTAAGTCTGATCCCTCTTTTGTGCCAACCCTATTTCACGTTTTTGTTTCATAGATCAGCCTACATGCAGAATGTGTTCAGAACTTAAATTGCCCCAAATGCCACCGGAGCCCAGCTCCTATATATTAGAATTTTTGAGATAAATCATAATTCTAG